AGAAAATATATACTCCTAGTTTATTTAAAATCTTGAAGACAATGACAAATTTCTAGATGCATACAACCTGCACAAATTCAATCAGGAAGATACAGAAAACCTAGACAAACCAATATCAAGTTACAAAATTGAAACAGCAATTAAAGCCTTCCAAAAAAGAAAAGTCCAAGACCTGACAGATTCTCAGCTGCATTCTACCAAACTATTATAGAAGAACCACCACTAATTTTTCTCAAATTATTCCTTGAAACTCAAAAGGAGGGAACACTCCCAAATAAATTTTATGAAATGAGTATAACCATGATTCCAAAGCTGACAAAGACATATCAAGGAAAGAAAACTATGGACCAATACCCCTGATGAATATAGATGCAAAAATCCTTAATAAAATTAGCAAATGCATTAAAAAACACATCAAAAAGGGGAAAAAAAGATAATACATCATGATCAAGTAGTTTCATTCCAGGGATACAAGGTTGGTTCAACATAATAATGTAATTCACCACTTAATGAATTAAGACCAAAATCACATGATCATCTCAATAGATGCAGAAAAGGTCTTTTGATAAAATCCAGCAACCATTCATATAAAATACATTGGAGAAGCTAGGGAGGGATAAAAGGAATTTTACCTCAACATTGTAAAGGTCATCTATGACAAACCCAAATCCAACATCATACTAAATGAGAAAAACTAAGAACATTTCCTCTAAGATCAGGAACAAGACAAGACTGTCCATTCTCACCACTCTTATTCAATACAGTCCTTGAAACATTAGCCAAAGTGATGAGGCAAGAAAAAGAAATCAAAGGCATACAAATAAAAAAGAAGTTGTTAAACTATCTCTGTTAGCCAATGATATGATCCTATATCTAGAAAACCCAAAAACACTCTACTAGAGCCTTTAAATGAATTTAGCAAAGTAGCAGGATACAAGATCAACACCCATAAATCAACAGCCTAACTATACTCCAACAGTGATTCAGCTAAGGAAGAAATCAGAAAAACCATCCCCTTCACAAACAAACAAATACTTAGGAATTAATCTAACTAAGGAGGTGTATGAGATCCACAGTGAAAATTATAAAACATTGAAGAAGGAAAACAAACTAAAAACAACCTTAGAAGATGGAAAGACATCCCATACTCTCGAACAGGCAGCATCAATATTGTCAAAATGGCCATCCTACCAAAAGCAACATACAGATTCAACACAATCTTCATCAAAATATCAACAATATATGTGTGTGTATGTATAAATATGTGTGTGTGTATGAATGATGTTCCTCACAGAATTAAGAAAAACAATTCTTAAATTCATTTGGAAGAATAAGACACCCAGTATAGGCAAAACAATACTAAGCAAGAAAAGTAAAGTGAAGCAGGAGATATCACAACACCTGAACTGATATACTTACTACACAGCTATAATAACTAAAACAGCATGGTATTGGCACCAAATAGACATGAAGACCAATGGAACAGAATAGAGGACACAGAGACAAACCCACATACCTACAGCTGTCTGATATTTGACAAAAATGRTGCTGGAAATACTGGATGAGCCATATGTAGAAAAATTAAACTAGACCCCTGTATCTCACCCTGAACAAACACTCAAATTGAAATGAATCAAAGATTTAGGAATTAGACCAAAAACCTGACAATTGCTACAAGAAAACACAGGGTCAACACTCCATCATGTAAGTGTTGGCACCAACTTCCTTAACAAGATCCATAAAGTGCAAGAAATAAAACCAAAAATCAGTAAGTGGGATGCCATCAACCTACAAAGCTTCTGCACAACACAGAAAACGATCAAGAGTGTGAAGTGAGAGCTTAGAGAATGGGAGAAAATCTTGGCCAGCTACACTTCCACTAGAGGATTAATATTCAGAATATATAAAGAACTCAAAGCTTAACACCAAAAAACTCCAAATAATCCAATGAATAAATGGACAAGGAACTAAAACAGAAACTTGTCAAAAAAAGAAATGAATGGCCAACAAATATATTAAAAAAAATACTCAACATCTCTAGCAATCAAGGAAATGAAAACCAAAACTACATTAATATTTCACCTCACTCCAATGATCAAAAATATAAATAACAAATGCTGGTGAGGTTGTGGGGAAAAAGGTTCACTTTTACATTGTTGGTGGGACTGCAGCCTAGTACAACCACTCTGGAAAGAAGTATGGAGGTTCTTCAAAAAACTAGGGGTGGAACCAGCTTATGACCCAGCTATTCCACTCCTTGGTATTTTCCCAAAAGATCTAAACTCAGCATACTATAGCGATACAGCCAACTTAATGTTTATAGCAGTACAATTCACTATACCTAAATTATGGAAGCAACCCAGATGCCCATCAATAGATGAACAGATTAAGAAACTGGRGTATATCTCTACAATGGAGTTCTACTCAGCCATAATAAAGAATGAAACTATGGCATCTGCCAGTAAATGGATGGAAATGAAGAATATCATGCTAAGTGAAATAAGCCAAACTCAGAAACTCAAAGGTCAAATATTAAGATAGAGTGAAATAAAGGAAAGGAAGAGGGAAGGATAGGATAAGATAAAGAATCAATCAAATAAAAATTAATAGCTGAGTAAAAGAAAGTCTAGTAGAGTAGACAAGGAGAATGGGAGAGGGGAGGAAAGAGAGGTGGGAAAAAGCAGAGGAAAAAGCAGGGAATCATGCTGAAATCAATATCCCAATGGTGTATATCATGGGAACTGAAGGTTGGGTAAATATTTGAAAAATCCATCAYTGTAAGGCATCAGACTAACAACAACAAAAACCTTAGATAATCATATCAATAAATACTTTTCCTTGTTTTTTAAAAAAACTGAACATCCATTCATAATTTTAAAAAATACTAGCAGTAATAATGGATACAAAGAACTATCCTCAACCTGTATTGATAGCTAATAGCCTGCTTATTGGTCTAACCCTGAATGGTTTCCCTAAGATCAGAGGAAGGCAAATTTGTCTATTCTTATTGCTGTTATTCAATATCATGCTGGTGGTAAAGCTATTAAACAAAAACTTTGGGGAAAAAACAAAGGGGAAGAGTTTCATAACACTAGGCTATAGATTTGGCAATGATTTCTCTGATAGAACAACAAAAGAAAATAAACTGGGCTTCATCTCATTAAAAGGTTTTTGTGCATCAAAAGACACTATCAACAATGAAAAAGCAACCCCTGGAACAAGAGAAAATATTTGCAAACTATACATCTGGTAAGAAATTAATATCTATAATATATTTTTTAAAACTCCTATTCAACATCACTAGTCATTAAGGAAATGCAAATGAAACACCATTTTACTTTATCATTCAAAAAACAGAGAAAATAAATGGTGAAAATGTGAAGAAATTTAAACCCTTGTCCATGTAAAATGGAGCAGCCTCTGGGGAAAACATATCTTGGTTCCTCAAAAATTAAATATAGAATTATCATATCAGCAATTTCACTTCTGAATATAAATCTGAAAGAAATGAAAGCAGGAAACCCAAGAGATATTTAYACATAGCAGTATTCTTAATAATAACCAAAAAGTAGAAACCTAACTGTCCATCAATGAATAAACAAAATGTGACATTTTGTTCAGAATATTGTTGAGTCTTAAAAGTGAAGGAAAGTCTGATCTGCTGCTACAAGATGGATGAGCATCAATGACATTTGGTAAGTGTCATAAGCCAATTGCAAAGGACAAATACTGCTTTTGCCTGCTTTGTTCAGGTTGCTATTAACTATCTATCACATATTGGCTTATAAACAACAGAAATTTATTTCTCACATTTCTGGGGAATGGAAGTGTGAAATCAAGGTGCAGGTATGGTCCACTTCTGGTAATCCTCTTTTGCATTGCAAACTGCTGACTTCTACCTGTATTCTCATATGGCAGAAAGAGAGAAGGGTAGCTGTCTGGTCTSATGACCTAACGACTTCACAAATGCCATAATTCCAAATATCCTCACATTAGGGAATTAGACTTTAACACAAATTTTGTGATAATACAAGCATCTAGTCCATACAATGAATAATCTAGAACTTCAAATTCAAAGTTGAATAGTATTAAGAATTGTAATGCAAAATAAATAAATAAATAAAAACAAGTTGAATAGTAGCTGTCAGGAGCCAGTGGGAATAGCAAATGGAGAATTACTATTCGATGGTGTTATGAGTTCATCTCCTGTTACTATAATGAAACACCTGAAGCCAAAAAACTTTATAAAAAGAGGTTTATTGAGCTCATAGTTCTGGAGGTTGGGGTCTGATGATGGTCTCAAGGCAGATGGCACCTCAATGGTAGGAATGCATGTGAGAGGGGGTTGGGTCGGGGGAGAGCTAACATATAGTCAGAGGAAGCCAGAGATGCAGGAGTCAAGCTCAGGCTTTTAATAACCCCTTGTGTTTTCAGGAGCTAAATGAAGATCCCAGGAACTATGTTAAATCCCTCCCAAGGGCATGCCTCCCATAATCTAACACTAGACTTTAGTTCTACACAGCCATATTAAGAACCAAGGCTCCAACACATGAACCCTTGTGTGGATGAACTCAACCCATATCCAAACCATAGCAAATGAATAGAGAAAAAAAGTTCTGGAGATAGAAGGGATAGTTATACACAACAATGTTAGGGATTTTTTTTTTTTTTTGTGTGTGTGTGTGTGTGTGTGTGTGGTGTTACTGGGGCCCCAACCCTGGTTATACAACAATGTGAATGTGCTTAATGCTACTGAACTATATGTTTAAAAATGGTTAAAAATCATAAATTTTCTTAAACTTATTTCACCATGGGGTGGAAAATACTGATGATTCTAGCCAGGTTAGAAAAAAATAAAAGCCACATGGTTCAGAAAGAAGAAAAAAATTACTACTTGCAGGTGTCATGATTATCTACGCAGAAAAATCTCACACACACACACACACACACACACACACACACACACAAAGGCCTTATAAGTAACAGAAGATTTTAACAAAGTGCTAGGATACAGTGGTCCACACGTGATCCCAGTGGCTCAGGAGGCTGACACGGACAGATCTCAAGTTCAAAGCCAGCCTCAGCAACAGCGAGGCACCATGCAACTCAGTGAGACTCTGTCTCTAAATAAAATATAAAATAGGACTGGGAATGTGGTTCAGTGGCTGACTGCTCCCAAGTTCAATCCCCAATACCCAAAAAAATAAATAAAAATTTAAATTTTTTTWAAAAAAGATACAAAAATCAATTGTACATCAGTATAATAGCACTGAATGACTTGGAAAATGAAACTTCAAAAACAGTGCAATTTAACTATCAAGAATATGAGCCACAATAAGTGTCAGTGAGGATGTAGGGAAAAAGGTACACTCAGACACTGCTGGTGGGACTGMAAATTGGTGTAACCACTATGGAATGCAGTACAGAGATTACTCAGAAAACTTAGAATGGAACCACCATTTGACTCAGTTATCCCAGTCCTCAGTGTATACCCAAAGAACTTAAAATCTGCAAACTACAGTGACACAGCCACATCAATGTTTCTTGCAGCTCAATTCACAATAGCTAAACTATGAAACCAACTATGAAACCAACCTAGATACCCTTCAACAGATCAATGGGTAAAGAAAATGTGATACATACACACAGTGGAGTATTACTCAGCCTTAAAAAATGAAAGTATGGCATTTGCAGGTAAATGAAGCTGGAAAATATCATGCTAACTGAAATAAGTAAAACCCTCAAATCCAAAGGCTGAATGTATGATTAAACTACCAATGTGAGTCTGCACTATGTTCAGCCAGAGAAGAAGTTGTGCTCCATTTGTGTACAATGTGTCTAAATGCATTCTACTGTCATGTATAACTAATCACAACAAATTTAAAAATTCTTTTTTTAAATTTATTAACCAATTAATTTAAAAAATAGTGCAATTTACAAACTACTGCAGTATACAAATCTAACAAAACATGTATAAAATCTGTCTGGTGACAGTAATAGGACACTAATGAAAAATATCAAAAAGACCTAAATAAATGGAGATATCATATTCATTTGATATTTGAGTGACTCCACATTGTTAAGATGGCTACGCATTCTTAACTGTTCAATAAACAAAATATCTATGAAAATTTCAGCATGATATTTTGTAGAAATCAATAAGCTAATTCCAAAATTTATATGGAGATGAAGATTCAGTCTTAGGGTATGTTCTCATCTCATTCTAAATTCTCCCCATAAAAAAATATCATAACCATGGCTTAAATTACTACTTCTACCAAACACACTTTGAGGACTGTTCAAAAAGTGAAGTCTATGCTCAATCAAGAAGCAAGCCTGAGAAAAGGGAATTACAAAAATAACTGAAAATAAGACTGATAATAAGAAGTAACACTAGTTTTTTGAAGAACAAAAAGCAGGTTAGACAACAAATGATATGGAMGAATCATACCAAAGAGACTGAGGAAAGGACTGCCCTGTTACAGTATAATCAGTCATAAGCAATAATCTAAAGTTCCCAAATATACAAAATATGATCAGACCACTCTGGTGAGACATCTGGCTGAGAATGGTAGGTATCATTGGCTTACTTGAGTCCATTGTTTGATGGAACAGCAACAGCCCAAATAACTCACAAGAAATTACTGCAACTATTGAGAATTCCTTAATTCATTTGGAAAAGTAGAATAATGCAGAAGTRAGGGCACTATTTCATGGCTTTGTAGTTCATATACATCTCATTTTGAAATCATAAAATTAACAATAAATATAGGTAAATGTCTTTTAATTTAGTTAACAAAAATCAGCCTTAATATTTTTTAATGAAAAAGTCTTAAGTTTCTAAATTTTCAGAGCTAGTGGATTAGTAGACTTTAACATCTGGCTTAAAATTATCTCAATAATGGCAAATCCCACTTTAATCCATTAAATTCTCTCAGAATTGTTCCACTTTTAAAATCAATAAACTGAAATATTTCAGATTCTGACCATAATTTCCTTTTTCCATGATCATTGAGTACCTCTGATCAATAAACTAGAAACACTAGATTCTTGCCTAACACCCATTCTATCTATCTAGTAAATCACTGGATCTTGTATATTTCATTCTAATACACTGATTTCCATTATATTACCAGGAACCTGTTAATTCCCTAATCCAATTGATACTTCTGTATCTTGTCCTTTCCATAACATTAGTGGACTTAATACTTCAGAAAGTATGTAGTAAATGAAAATTAAGGACACTTTGTTTAAAATTAAAGAGCAAATATCACAGAACATACAAGATGGTACAACCACATCAAAAGACTGATACTCAATTTCTTTCACTAAAGTACTATGAAAGTGTGAGGTCATTTGGGCGATACAGATATACTATGAATGCTTTTATTGGTGAAAGTCCATGTCATGAGGAAAAAAATCATAAATAGCAACCTTCAAAACATACCTAGCCACTGTTGCTGTGATATCTCACACCAGTATTTTCTCACTGAAAGAATATCTTTGAGTAGTATGTTGCTACAATCAGCTCCATAAATAACACCATTGGATGAATCTTTCACTGTCTCCATGATATAATTCAAGAGTTCATGACATTTTAGTCTGGGTGCTCCTATTAAAAGTAAAACAAAGAAACATATAAAAATATTTCTCTCATCAATAAACTGGCAGCAACATTAGATTCTTCTCTAGCACATACTCTATCTGTATAGTAAATCACTAGATTTAAAATCTTAAATTAAGAACACTTGTGCTGGATGTAATGGCACACACTTGTAATCCCAGTTACTTGAGAGGCTGAGGCAGGAGCAATCATTGAAAAAAGGCAGCCCCAGTACTTAGCAAGGCCTCAGTACTTAGCAAGGCCCTAAGCACTGAGGGAGACCCTGTCTCTAAATAAATAAATAAAAAGGGCTGGGGATATGGCTCTGTGGTTAAATACAACTGGATTCAATCCCTGATACAAAAAAAAAAAAAAAAACTTGGAATGAAAATACTTAAAATAACAACATTTGGGACATTAATCTCTTCTTTTCACAGAACAAGGATTAAAAAATATGGCCCAAGGGCTGGGGTGGTAGCTCATGGTTGAGTGATTGCCTTGCATGTGTGAGGCACTGGGTTCGATCTTCAGCACCACATTAAAAAAATAAGTAAAATAAAGATATTGTGTCCATCTACAAAAAAAAAAAAAAAAAAAAAAAAAAAACCTATGGCCCAAGAGCAAAGTCAGCCAGTTGTCTGTTTTTGTAAATAAAGTTTTTTTTTTTTAATATTTACTTTTGAGGTGTAGTCGAACACAATACCTTTATTTTATTTATTTATTTTTATGTGGTACTTCGGATTGAACCCAGGGCCTCGCACATGCTAAGCAAGCGCTCTACCACTGAGCCTCATAATAAAGTTTTATTCAAATAGAGTCACATGCATGCCCATTGTGTACAGCTGCTTTCAGGACAAAATAACAGAGTAATTAAGGCAAAGAACACATGGTCTGTAAAGTCAAAATATTTACTATCTAATCCATCTACACATGAAGTTTGTCAAGCCCTGCAGGAATATACAGCAAAATCAATAATTATTCTATCCTTACTAATTCACCTTCACAGTTCTAGCATTAGACTTAAAATGATGCAAAATTCCTTCCCACTTTTATAAAGAATGAATTTATTAGAATAACAAAATTACAAGAAGGCTCTTTACACTGAAAAATAAACATTCTTCCAAGTTCTACAATAGATATACAAACGATATATAAATATGTAAGGTGTAATTTTAATAGCATATTATTTGAGATTCTGAAAATTCAGCATTAATATATATTCTTAAAGGTATAAAAACTATATTTAAAAATAACTATTTTAGTAATTCATATTGACATCATAGCTCAAATGTTATCATAATTTCAATAATGACTTATACACTGATATACCTTATTCYGTAAGTATTTCATAATTTTAAGCACCTGACCAAGATGAACTGTACTACCACATGAACCTTTTTTTTTTCTTTTTGGATACTGGGGATTGAACACAAAGGTGCTTTATCCTGAGCTACATCCCCAGTCCTTTTTATTTTTAGACAGTGTCTTGCTAAGTTGCTTACAGTCCTGTTAAAGCTGAGGGTGGCCTTTATCTTGCTATCTTCCTGCTTCAACCTCCCAGGTCACTGGGATTACAGGCATGTGCCACTGTGCCTGGCCCCCATATGATATTCTTGACATCATGTGCATCTCTCTCCTACAAAAATGTTTTTATCATCTATGATGTCTATTGTTTTATCAAATCCTTAGGGAAGGGAATTAATCTTTATATCCCCATAAATAGATATGTAAACTAATATTAGGCTGAAATAATATTTTTCAATGTTGTTTATTCCAATATATTCTGTTCTCTCCCAAATTGGAGAAGTGTTTCAAGAATTATACTAAAAAAAATTCATGCTGACATATTTTTCCCTAAAAATAAAAATTGTCTTATATCCGGGGAGTAGCTTAGTGGTAGAGCAATTGGTTATATAGAGCAGTTTTTATGAMAAAAAAAAAAAAATCTGTCTTAAAAAGACCTAAGGTGCTTAYAGAAACTTCATGGAAGTTCATGGAACTGAACATTTTTCACAGGYTGGTTTCTTGTTTTCTACGCTCTCTGCTTTGTGCAGATGCAGACAAATGCTAACATAACAGAATGAAAAATATTTCCTTACTTGTTCTTTCCCAGCTGCCTTTCCCTTGTTTTTTTCCCCCCTAATGTCTGTTTCTATCATACCACTTATGAATACCAATGCTAACCAAGTTTGTCAAAATCTGGACATGTGGGGCTGGGGTTGTGGCTCAGTGGTAGAGTGCTTGTCTAGCACTTTCGAGGCCCTGGGTTTGATCCTCAGTACMACATAAAAATAAACAAAATAAAACTATTGTGTCCAACTAAAAAATAAATATTAAAAAAATGTGTTTAAATATTTACAAACATCTGGGTTTTCTGATTCATAAAGTTGCTACCAAAAATCATATCCTTAACTGCAAGGACTACAGAGTCTGAGCCCAGAAGTCCCTAAACAAATGTTTTTCTTCTTCAGCACTAAGTAAATGCCCATTTCCTTACAAAAGCTTACCTGTATTTTGATTAAAAAATACCACTGTACAAGTTCAGCTCTACAATATGGGAGATATACTGCTTATCAGTAGTTAAAAAGACCTGGGTTTTTTTGCTGTCATTTTTCTTAAGTGATAGTAAACACAACATTAGCTGAGGATGGGTTTTGCTTGCCAAAGAAATTAATGTGATCTCAGAAAGAATCAGTAAAAATATACAATAAAAGATATGCAAATCCTGTTCTATCTGTACTCATCAGAATATAACCAAAAAATTGATCACCACACCTCGGGAGATATAATTAAACTAAAGAATATTCAGGGGGGCTGGGATTGTGGCTCAGTACAGTGCTCGCCTAGCACATGCAAGGCCCTGGGTTCAAACTTCAGCACCACCTAAAAATAAATAAGTAAAGGTACTGTGTCCATCTACAACTAAAAAATAAATATTTAAAAAGAAAAGAGTATTCAGAAGAGAGTGAAATAAAAACTAAGTCATATGAGCTAAAGAAAGAGGTATATTTACCTAAGAGGACTCAAGGGAAATACTATGGCTATCTTCAAATACCCCAAAGGATCTCATGATAAAAACATGATTAATTAGGTATTTTTGTGTATTCTTAGAAGCACTAACAAAAAACAGACAGGGTTTGAATAAAGCTGTTCAAAGATAGAAAAGAAAGTTGAATATATTCAGTCATTTACACAGTATTTGTATCTGAGTGCTTGGGATGTAGAGAGGGATACAATAATGAGGAATTCAAATAATTTTTAATCCTTTTAATTCTAAGATTTTATCATTTTAAGCTTGAATAAATTCTCCAAAATATTTGGACCTACAGTATTAAAATCCATTATATATGGTAGAAGCTATAATTAACATACTTATGTTACCATATTCAGATCAAACTTTTGTATGGTAGCCTATTAAACCATTTATTTCAAATAAATAATGTTGCTTACTTTTATTTGCRCATTTGATGAAGTATCTGACCAAACTACTGATTTCTTGCATCTTTTTCTGTCTGGAGGTTTGTGTTGAGGCTGATACATTTGGTTTTGCTGTCCTCAAACATTCTGTTTCTTTCTGAATGTATTTCTGCAAAAATCTTCAAGAAAATGAAATAGAATTCCAGAAAAAAAATTATGCTTAAATATTTATAATTTTAAAATGTTCTTAATGTCATCACAAAGAACATCTTTTAAAACCACACTGCTTTGCTCAATGTACCAGCTAACTGAAACAAATCCCTTTTTYGAGGCCTAACCTCTACAACACCAATAGAGAGTCTGGCCTGCAATGTTCTCAATCTATAGCCTTTCTGACTTTTTATTTTATTACTTGCTTTCTCATTTTGTCATTAAAATTTCACAATATTACCGAGGGCTTTCAACCCTCTCTTCCTCCTTCCTAACTACCTGATCATACCTATAGCCTTTAAGTGAAGCTCTACCTTAACGACTAGCCAGTAGTATCAGGTGCCAATTTGGCCTAMCTAATCAGCTAATACAAAAGAGTACTCACCTTTATGTAATGACTGTATTAGTGGTATCTAAAATAAACCAAATAACCAGAGAACAAGGAACATGCATTTTTCATGTCACATTTATTCAAATCTGTAACAGTGTAGTACCAAATAAGAGCTAAAAAAACTGTTTATCTGTTCTAAATACTAAAAGACAACTAAATATTCCTATTTCCTCTTGACTGCAAATATTGTTTCAAGTTATTTAATGCCCTCAATATTCTACATTAATTTTAAATACTTCATCTTTCCCAAGCCTTACAAACTGCTACAAATGGACTTTATGACTGAAAATCATGTCTCAATGTAAAAACCCATCAACCCTGTTTGCCACTTCGTTCTATCCAAGGATCATATCTTTTCATTGCCTAAGATTTTATTTTTTAACTGTATTCATCTCAAAGTATCCTAATATTTCATTCACCTGTTTTACTATAACTTAACCCATGGCAGCCACTTATAATTCCAGTAATAAAGATGTCAAAATAACAATTAAGTATTTGTTGTAACTTCAAATTTTTCCTCTAATTTGCAATGAATTCTTACAAACTAATCCATATGAAAGGAATTCTTTCTCAATACCAGTGGGACATGTATAAGACATTTTGTGGAACACTGATTTAATACTTTAAGCATTCCATATAATAAGCATCCTTTAAATATAATGCTTTGGATAATCATTAAGTGCTAATTTCATATGCAAGGCACAATAAAACACAGGTAGCAAAGCCTTACAAAAATAATATCTCAACAGAAATAAAACTGAAAGACAAAGCAAAGACAATTTTAAATGTACAGTACCTAAAAACAGCATCCCAATTCAAATATTTTCCTTGTTTGGAATCTGAATGCCTATCTAAATGTTGAACTGTTTCAGGATCCCGAATCAGGCGTTTAAATTTCTCAACTTCTTTCTGAAAACAAAAATGAACATGATAATGTATTACCGATCACATTCAATTTCAAGGAAAAATTAAATCTAAGCCATTTACTACCCTTCGTTCTGTAGCTCTATCATGTTCTAGTTGTCGGCAGCAAATAAGCAGATCATTAAGTGCTAAACTCATGGTTCAGGATTTCAGAACATTAGTATCTGTAAAAAAAATATATATATATTAATAATAGTAATAATAATTAATAATAATTATGTAATCGTTTACTTCATTTATATATTTTTCTCATGCTAGGGACTGATCCCAGAGCCTTACAAAGGCTAAGCACATGCTCTACCATTGAACTACACTTCCAGCCTTTACATAACTTAGACTATGTTATTAACAAGCATATTGTCATCAGAGGCACAGTGGTTTTTCTTAATATCTGCATGTTCCAATATTCAGTTAAATTTAAAATACTTAAATTTAAAATATTTCTTAGAACATATCAAAACAATGTTCCAGTACTCAAATCTATTCTTTGTTTACAGTAGCAGGATAAAGTCTAATTTTCTTGGGAAAAAAAACAGTTCAGTATTATCTACATAAATAGAAGATGTTCATTCATTGATACATAAAACAATATTTCCTTCACACCTACTATGTTCAAAATACTATGTTAGGGATAGCTAACCCCCCCAACAACAAAAAACGAACTAAACTAACACAAATCCTACCCTTATGGAGCTATATGTGGGGAAGAGGAAAATAAACAAGTAAAATGATAAAACCATGGGTAATTCCAAATTGTGATATATGCCTTCAAGGCAACAAAAACACAAAAGAAAATAACAGAACTGAGGATGGTGTTAGATAAATTGTCAGGGAACATATCTCAAAGGAAGTTATCATAAAGTCAAGATCTGAATGAAGTGATGCCAATTATATAAGGAGCTAGAAGACCAACACTGTAGGGAAAGAGACTAGTATAACCAGAGTCCCAAGAAGAGTGTGGTATGTTGGAGAAACTAAAGGTTCCACTCCCAACATTCAACTGAAATGATACAGATTTCTAAGCCTTTGAATTGATAAATCCAACGTTCCTTTTCAGATTTTAATCAAGTTAATCTCTTTGAAGACTTTCACAAAGACTACATCCTGTCTTCTGAGAAATAACTCTGGCTTGACATGCCATTCTTGTCTACTGGTTAAGAGCACGTGAACTCTATAGTAATATTGTATTGGTTCAAATCCTGATCCAGTCACATAAAAACTCTACAATATAGACAAAGTTTGTTCATTAATCTCTCCAAATCCGTTTTCTCAATAACAAAACAAAAAGCAATACTCATATATAGCTCAAAGGGGTGTCATAAAGATTCATGTTTAACATAGTGCCTTGAAAACAGCCTATGTTCATGTTAGTAATTATCATATTCCCTTTTTATGACAGTTTAATATGTCTCTTTGATGGTTCTTCCTCTCACACCTCAAATACAGTGTTTGTCTCCTTGCTGTCTTCAAAGTGTTGAAGACTCCAAATCTTACTCAATGCCAGACCTCTCTCTTGGGCTTCAGGAACTTGCTACACTTTGTGCCTTCACATGCATTTCCCAGTCTGGAAAGCTACTACCACCCTACAGAACAATTGACACAGTCTTGTCCAGGTCAAACTGATTCTCCCAGGTTGCATTTCCACAGAACCTGTTGCTCTACCACTTCAGCACTCTTTTATAACATTATCACCTTGAATTGTAGTTGTCTACTTATCTTCAYTTCTTTAAGCAAAGAGTCACACAGCTTAAAATCATTATTCAAACTCTGGTACTGTGGTTCCAGGGCCCATGATCTTAACCACAAGGCTGAAATTTAAATCTCAATAAACGGTCGCTGTCTGAAAGTATCAATTACGAGTGAAAAAAAATGACTTTGTCAAGTCACTTAAATTTGAACCGTAAGGTAACAGGGTAATGGGGTAAACAGGAAGGGAGGTTCAACTTAAAAGAGTATGCATGCATATTAGAGACACACACACACTGCTCCCTTTCCTGGATATTGAATCCAGAGGGATTCCACCTCTACAACCCTTTTTTTGTTTTTTGATACAAGGTCTTGCTGGGCTGGCCTTAAATTTAAGATACTTCTGCCAGGGCGCCAGGAGCAGCTGGGATTACAGGCATGCACCAGCAAATTTAAAGTCCGCTAGGGGCCGAGAGCGAGGACAGGAAAAAAAAATAATGAAGACCGGCGGCCGGAAACAGGGGTGAAGACAGGAGGGTAGGGCAGCTCGGAAACAATGTATGGGACTGCGCTCCCCGCAAGAGGAGYTACAGGAACCAAGCTAATACTCCCACGCAAATACTCCCACGCACAAGCCACTGAGTAGACTCCCCATCCCTACCGCCGCGCTCTGACAGCCAAAGTAGTCTCTCTGGAAGCGGCAGGGGCTGCAGCCCAAATCCACGCTCCTCTGGCCTCCTCCCCACCACAGCTTTGCAACCCGTTATCCACGGTCTTTCCCGCTTCCGGCTCAAATGCAGCGTGGCGGCGGAGCTTCAGTCCCGGGAGTAAGAGGCTGGCAGAGCGGTGGCGCACAGCGTGCTCATGCGCAGGAACATCACGCGCTCTCAGCTCAAAACACTAGCTCCCCCAAAACATTCGCCTGGTCAGAGAAGGCGCGCCTGCGCCCTGCCCACCAATAGCGAGCTACCTTACGCCTCTGGTTCGCCCAGAGGCTCCCACACCCCACCTCCTTGCCCTCTTCGGCCCCACCCCTCCAACTCTGCGGACGGAAATGACGACAGTGCCAGGGAGCTCGGAGGCGGGTTGCATTTCGGCGCCTTTCTTTCCCCTGCGGAAGCGATTGGTTGCTGTCGGGCGAGAGAGGCGGGACAAATTGTCGCGGGTTCAGTGCCGCCAGTGGAACCGGGAGATGCGGCGCAGGAGCTGTTGCTGTGTTTGCCTTCACCTGAGTCTCGTCTCTTATTCTGGCTCCTTCTGCGACTCGGATCATGTTGTTACCTTCAGACGTGGCCCGACTGGTATTAGGTAAGCGCGGGCACCGGAGGAAGGGTTACTGGACCAAGCGAAGCAAGACGGAAGGACCTTAGCGGCCAGAGGCTTTCCTTGGGTGGGGAAGCTTTGGGGGTTTGCCGCCTCGCTTACAAGTTCATATCTGGTGATAATTCTCGGTCCTTCGGAGGCYCCGGGAAGTTTAAGCCTCTTTCTAGGTGAACGCTCCTCTTCTCAGGGGCTGCGTGGCGAGGGCAGGCTCGGGGTGGAATACCTGGAGCCTGGATTCCGAAGAAAGTCGGGCCTGCGCGCTTAATTGCGACCCCTGGTAGAGAGTTGTCTACGTGACGGACTGGCTGTGTGTTGGTTAACCTTTCCCTTGTCAGAGCTGAGACCAAAATAAGACTTCTCAGCCACCCCGCTTTGGAAAAAGGCCTTTCGACGCCCTTCTCATATCCTGGCCTTAGAATTTATGATTTGGGGACTGATGGGGGTACTCTTTCTCCATACTCCCCGCAGTACGTCGCCCAGCGTAGAGGTTTGAAATGCCAGTTGCATGTTTTAAAACAGTCGTAATTCCAATTCCTTTCAGGGAGGAAATGCCTTTTAGTTACACATTTTATAGCCCTAGTTTTTCCCCCATTGGAAGAGTGGTTAATGGGCTACTTGTGTGTCTGAATGTATTGTCTGTGTAGGAGAATTTTTTTGTTCTTGTTTGCCCCCTGAAAGAATAAAAAGGATTGTAACGAGAGCCATGGACCACGTAAAGCTCAAAAGCTAAGCCAACGATTTACAAATATCATATGAGTCGTCCCTAAAAGTAAATGGTAAACWTATGTGATGAAACCTGCCTTAGTTTCAGCAACCATTATTGTACTACCATTTTTTTTTATTGTTCGAAAACCGCAATTGTTTTGTGCCTTTAAAAACACTCAGCCCGTTCCAAATATATATATATAGTATTTGTGCAGGGCTCATAATCACATTTGTGAGAAACCTGGGAGGGGGGGAGAATGGTTCCACCATTCATTTTTGGAAAAAACTAATGACTGAACACAAAAATTTTGTTAATGTTTAATCTTTTCCTCACTTTTTCAAAACTGATTATCTATAGGATCTACTCCATACGTTCGATTAAAAAGCTGGATGCCTTGAAATCATTATATTTATTAGGCTTACCTATAAGTGAAAAGTGGACTTTCATAATATGCATTGATAACCCTTATGTTTTTCCTCTGTATATTTGCTTAAGAATTTTGTCTTTTAGTAGTTAGATGATCCAATTGAACTTCAGTACTCATAGTCTTAAAAATGGTGTTTCAACCTCAGCATTATTAACATTTTAGAGTGGATAGTTTTTTATAATAGGTAGTTGTCCTATGCTCGAATTTTGTAGGATGTTTTAACAGCAGCTGTTCTTTTGACTTTTTCCTCTCCTTTTTTTTAAAATTTATTTTCTAGTTGTAGCTGGACAAAATACCTTTATTTTACTTACTTATTTTTATGTGGTGCTGAGGATCAAACCCAGGGCCTCTCACATGCTAGGTGAGTGCTCTACTGCTGAGCCACAACCCCAGCCCCCCCCCCTTCTTTTAGTGGATAAAAACTTAAGAGTCATTTGGGGCTTTTTGTTCTTAATGTCTTCACACTACAGTTACTGCCACCAATCCCAGCAATATACCTCCTCTTACTTCTATTTTAGACTTTTGTCATGCCTTCCTAAATAAGTATTTTTTCAGTGTTGGGGTGGAACCCAGGATGCTTTACCACTGARCCACATCCCCAGCCCTTTTTATTTTTGAGACAGGGTCTCACTAAGTTACTGAGGCTGGCCTAGAACTTGTGGTCCCTCAGCCTCAACCTCCCCAGTCCCTGGGATTATAGGCATGTGCTACTGTGCCCAGCTTCCCTTGTAGTCTTCTTGTAATTCATCTTATTGCTATTATAAATCTTCCTAAAGCATGCACACCAGGCCAACTATTCTAAAAGTTGAAATAGTTATGCACTTAATGAGTGTACAAAAAGAGCAAGACTTCCCCATTCTCAGCTCTTGATTTTGTTATTTAACATTATAAATCTTAAAATTATATACATATATATATCAGAACTACCATTTTATTAGCTCTTGATTCTTATGTCATACACTCTCCACATCTATAGCCCCTTCTGTATTAAACCCATGTTTTTTAGCAAATCTTTGTGTGCCTAATATACAACAAAACCACTTTCCTTAATTTCATCTTACTCTTTTTATACACTCAGTCAAATTTATTCACATAACAATTTAGTTGCTTTACTTCATCCCCTTTGCATTCTTCAGCAAATTATATTGACTTCTGCACCTCATTACTCACTTGAACAGCTCTGGTTATCAGTGTTATTTATTGTCTTTGGACACCACTTTGGTTTTTATCAGCATATCAGGTGAGGTGCTCTGTTGAACTGATCCTACTTGCCTCTCTTGCTTGATCTCGTCTTAACATTTGCCTTACGCTGCAGCAAATGTTTCAGGGCAAACTACTTGAAGTATCTCCCCATATTCTTATATATTCTGCTTTTCCTTGTCTAATATGCTTGTATTGAAGATTCAGGTAAGTTTGAAATCCCAGGGGCTCAGGAGGTCAAGAGAGGAGGATCCCAAGTTCAAAGCCGGCCTCAGCAACTACGTGAGACCCTGTCTCAAACTAAAACATAAAAAAAGGGCTGGGGATGTGGCTTGGTGGTTAAGCGTTCCTGGGTTTAATTCTTATCCCCCCACCACCACCAAAAAAAGATTCAGTTCAAACATGATCTCTGAAATCTCTCCCAGCAATTACAGTTAGTGCTTTCTGCCTAAAGGTCGTATTGTAGCTGTGATTTTTTTCTTTTTTGTAAGTCTACCATTTTTGCTATTTTAAGTGTGCAATTCTGTGGTATTAAGTACATTTACTATGCTCTGCAACTGTCACCATCATTCTTCTCTATACTGAAACTTACTTTTTGTCCATCTCAGTATTTTTATATATAATTATATATATATATATATATATATGTTGTAGGGTAGGTGGACACAATACCTTTTTTTTAATAATGTGCTGAGGATCGAACCCTGTGCTTTACACATGCAAAGAAAGCGCTAATACTGAGCCCCAGTTTCAGTATTCTTAATCTTGGATTAATGAACAAGCTTCTGAAGTTCTGTGAGCCTCCAAAACTATCTGTAAAAGTTTATATGCCTCTGGCATTTTTATAGATGAAGGGTCCCGAATTTTCTTCAGTTTCCCAAATGGGTTTGTTACTTTCTATATGAGTCAGCATCTAATCAGAACTAATAGGAGTCAGTGTRTTTAACATAGAAGTATTTAATGAGGGAATTGGCTACACTGGTGATAGAAGAACTAAGAAGCCAAACAGCTTACTCAAGGCTACTCAGAGGTTACCATAGCAGGAAACCATACACTAACCAAGAGGACAAGGAGAGAGAAAGCAAACCAGAGGCAACTGTAGAAGATGGAAGGTAGACTTTTATTTGTAAGAAGGCACTAGTGATAGAGGAGATTCTATTGAGGCAGTGATAAAATGGGAGCAAAATACACAGCCTCTTCCTCCTGTCCTCTGGTCTTACATTAGCGCTTCCCATTTAGCAAAGCCAGCCAAAGCTAGCTGACATAAGCCTGGGAAACCTTGCCAGTATGGAATAGGCTTCCTGTCATACAGAAGAATGAATTTGAGGGCATGCAGGACAAGAACAGGCACACCCCCAACAGATCAAGAGCCACTGGTTCTATTCACCTTTATATCACAAAAACGTAAAAGATATTTGATAAGCATTTACAGAAGTACAACTGTGAGCATGATATTCCCCTTTGTCTACAGAATAATATCTGTACTCATAACTGACATTTACAGTTTTTCATGGTCCTTAACTATTTTTTTGGTTATATCTCCAACTAACTGTTCCTTTTCGTATACTTTGTGGTGCATCCAAATTGGGCTTTTTCCCAAAATAAGCTCTGCATATACACTTCATATCAGTGTGTTCAGGAACCCTTCACCCTTCTGGATTCACCTCCTCTTTGAAGCATTGCATAGTTTTCCCCCAAGCCTGGTAATAATTTCCCTCACCCTTATCTTCTCATAAAGTAATTCAGCCCTATTTTCTTATTGCTTGTGCTTTGCGTTGCACTTCTTTTTTTGTATACTTATCGTTTTATTTGAAGTTGGACACAATACCTTTGTTTTATTTGTTTATTTTTATGTGGTGCTGAGGCTGGAACCCAGGGCCTCACGCGCTGGGCAAGCGCTCTCTACTGCTGAGCCACAATCCCAGCCCGTGCATTACACTTCCTTGTGTATGTATCTTCTGGCTTCTTATGGATCATAACATTTATAGATTAAGACCTGTCTCTCTTTTTTGCAGATCTAGTAGTACAAGGCACAATTAAGTCTTAAGAATCATTTACATTTTCAAGAACGTAAAGCCACCAGTTTCCCTGGGAAATTATTATAGTATGTGAAGGAGATATTTTCACATACGTGGCTTTACTATTTTTTCCTTTGGACTCCTCTTTTTATCTTTCCCTCTTTACAAATAGGAAGAAGTCCAACTCTTGGCATTCCGATTCCTTAAATCCCTTGATA